ATAATTAAGTTTTAACAACACATATCCTGTCTTAGATTACTTGCAGAAACAGTTAAATACTAACACAATTCCTCGGACATTTCCAACTTTACACTCCTTAATTAATGGAACTGGGACAATTAGTGTCAACCAGTGGTGTTCAAACTCTAAGCTGACGTAATAAAGGACATTCGACACGAGAAGTATAGTATTTTACAATTAATTTTTTTATGCCAGTTTTAAATATTTATAATAATCTATACTAATATTATAAACTACTGGGCCAATTTAATAAATTCTTTCACCGTTAGTAAGGCAACTTATCTGTGAGTAACGTCGATGTATTTTTTCATTTCACGCGGAAGTTGCGACCAACAGCGAGTTAATATTATTGCAAAATTTTACAAGCACTGGCCAATGTCGCACGAACTCGACCGAAATGTATTTATTAGGATTTATTTTAACATATTAAAAAGCCACATTTAACAAATTGTATGTTATAATTTTGTATAACTGTGACTGATTGTTTTAACTATTAATAAAAATACAATTTTTATGTTTGTAATTTGCAATGCAAGTTTTTATAATCGACTTCCCAAAAGCAGGTACTAGTTTTTACCTTTTACTAATGTTATACTACTAAATAAATTGAAAACAAAAATGTCCTTTAAAAGAAGACAATGATTTTAAAGTCACAAACCATTAAGCCATTTGCCTATATTGTTATTATCTATACTATTATAATAAAGCGTAAACACACACTTCTTTGTTGCCTAAGACGTCAGCAATTACAGTTTATTTTTGAATAATTATTTTTTTAATAAAAAGCCCTACACTTACATCACGCTTTAGGCTATAAATTTTCACGCCAATAAACTTAAGGGGTAAATATTTTGGATAAAATCCCTAATGTGGGAAAGAGACCTTGAGTTGCTGCCAACATTAAGGAAACAAGATTGCCCAGGTCTGTCATGGTTATGTCAGTTTGACGTTTGCTATTGATAATTTGACAAATGTAAAGAATAAAATAAAGTTTTTATAATTCCATGCGGTTAAAATCGCACGGGAACAGCTAGTTGTTTATATCTCCATAATCGAATTGTAGGTTATGCGTTTATCAAATCATATTTGTACATGTATGAATCACCTGTTAAAATAACTTTTACGTAGTTCTGTTTGGTTCGTTGTTTTTATCCTAAATCCTATTTGAGTAGTTGTATTATTAACGAGAAACCTTTACAGCCTTTTATATCGCAGACCATACATGGATACGCCTACAATACCGAAGTTGGGTTTTGCATTCGCAAATTGAATCTTAATCCATTGTAATAAGGCTATGTGAGATCATCGTATGAAAGAAAATTATTTATGTGTGACATTGGTAGGAGTTGTTAACCTTTTTATAACATCTAAATAACGGTATAGTAAATTACATAAGTTTAGATCAACGTTTATTATCTACTTGCTTTCGCCCGCGACTACGTCCGTGTGGTAGTAAAAAAAACAAAAGTGAGTAAACTATGTGTTCTTGCAGATTATCCTCTACGTCTATGCCAAATTTTATCGATATCTGTTCAGCCGTTTAGGCTACAAACTCTAACAAACATCCATCCATTTCGCATTTATAATATTAGTATGATATATACGTTAAAACAAAAGTTTTCTAGCGTAAACTAAAAATAAAATAATTTAATTCTATAATTTTAAAACACTATCTAAGATAGTTATAAGAATTATTAGTCAATTTTACATTTTCTACCAAAAACAAATATCACCATTTTGAAATAACTGTCAATGTCAGATTGACGTTTTGGCGCGCAAACAGATAAAGGTAAAAAGCAAATCCCGCTTTGAGTCAAAGAATATAAATATTACTTGATCATAGTTTTTTGTTATAATTTTAACAAATAACGTTGTAGGAAAATCCCCTAAAACTCAGTGAATTAGGAAATGACTTTGCTAAATTAATACGAATGTTGCTAATACATTTGTAATTTACAAGAATAAGGTTAGAAAATAACAATATGCAGTGAGCATTATGTAGACTGTAATCACACGAGTTTTATTATCTTATTTAATTGTTTATTACTATTATGTTCGTATATTATTGTGTATAAACTAGGTAGTTTACTATAGTTTACTATATCTATACTAAGATTATAAAGATAAAAGATTTGTATTTTTAAATTATCATATGTATTGAAATAACTCAAAAACTACTGGATTGATTACGAAAATTCTTTCGCCATTAGAAAAGTAATCTGTCTGTGAGTAACGTAGGCTATATTTTATTATTTTTTAAATTCACGGGGACAAAGTCAGGGGCAACAACTAGTAATACATATAAACCTTCATCTTGAATCATTCTACTTAAACTGCATCTTCTTATACTATGTATTAACTTGTCTTTTAGTAGTGTTAGAGCGAGTACATCTGAAACTAAAACATCGCACAACTGTTTAGTCTCGCTTTGATTCCTATGAGATTAACTGGAGCGCAAACAACTCTATTTTTAGCTGTGCAACTAAACAGTTGAATTGAACTGCAAAACAATCGACAATCACACAACATCTGTGAGACAGTTTAGTAAAAGGTGTACCCGCTCTTAGTGTCCTGTTGTAACACGATGACAGAAGTTGTAACGTCACCGATTGTAACAAGTTCCATTGTGGTTCATGTTTAATTCATCGGCGACGGGAGCTGAGGTAATTACAATTGTAACGTTACGTAACACAATAACATTATTGTTACGAAATAGATTTATTTGTTAACATTCGGATTTAAGTGTAACATGATGATGTAAATAATACGTCAATAAAAAAAACAAAAGTAAGAAGCATATGTCTATTCCAGTCTATCCTCTAAATATATGCCGAATTTCATCGAGTTCCGTATACCAGTTTAGGCAACAAACTCTAACAAACATCCATCCATCCATCTAAACTTTCGCATTTGTAATATTAGTGTTAGTATGATTAGTACGTAGATTGTTAGTTAGGTATACAATTAAATGTTAATATTAACCAAAAAGAGAAAAGATAACACTTTAAAATCTACGGAAATGTTAACTATTTAGTTTTACATATAAATAATATGTGTTAAGTAAAAAACTATTGATAAACAATTTGTTATTTTATCCCTTTCTCTGTATTTGAAAACATGTACGTCATATCCTTTCTAAGAAAATAAATTCAAACGCCTATTTTTAGTTTTCTCCCTAACTTTCAAATACATACCCATCTATACTTCCTGCCGACACATTCTAAGCGAGTGATTGATGATTCTGGCGGATAAAAGGACGAAAAACTCATTAGGAAGTTATTTTCTTGTCCTTTTGTATCTCGAAATTAGATTTTACGAAAAAAATACGCTTCATAAGTTTTGAAAATGAAAAAATGAACACATCGTTGATTCCAATGTAAATAATTGTATGTTAGTAACGCTTAAAAAACTATTAATTACGCTACAGAAACAAACAACATACAATATAAAACAGAAAACTAAAATTCATGCAACATTTTTTTGTCTTCCACATAACTCTATCATACCTTATCTCAGTCATCACTTGATCATGTCACCTTTCACGTAATCCATACATCTCTTTCTACGTCTACTTCTACCGGTATCGTCTTCAAACAGAAAACTAAAATTGTTATTCGTAAATACACCTCTCGAATGAACATAGAACATTCTATAAGTAAATAAGTAAATTTAAATAACATTGATCATCGTGAAAACTTCAAAATTGTGAGATACGGTTGTTTACGTAGGAGTCATCGGAATATCAAAAGACGAATTGTTTAATTGCCATAAAACTGCTGCTACAAATTGAAAAATACGTTTGTTTTAATGAAATAAATACAGCGATAACAATGTTCTTGTTATTCTTTTGTTTACTGCTGACATTATTTAGGGATTTTTTAAAGTCAAATTACGCGTTTGTCGTCCGCGTAAAATTAAAAATAACAAAAAGATGTAACTAATAGCTTATGTTACTCACAGATAAAATACCTTACTAACAGTGAAATAATTTTTAAAATCGACCCAGTAGTTTGTAACTTTTTTTTCATGACATAAGGTGGCAAACGAGCAACGGCCACCTGAGTCCGCCAAAATGGCGAAGCGACCGCTACCCATAGACATCCCACCCTTATCCGACAGAGAAGAAGACACACATAAAGAGAACATTTCCCCTTCCTATGCATCTCCTTCACCGTCAAATCCACTTTCCCATCCCATCCTCTACTTACGAGTATAAGAAGAGGGTGGTAAAGAGAAAGGGACTTAAATTAGGCCCCCGGCACCACACTCATCAGACGCTCGGAATTTCTTCCACTTCACGCCTGTCTTCTATGTGTTGTGACTTATTCCAATACAAACAAAAATACAAATCTTTCTTCTTTATAATATTCGTATAGTAAAGAAAACGTAATAAACAATTTCAATGTAAAATAGACTGTAATTTAACTAGTTTCTAAATAAAAATATGATTTAGTAACATTTCATGAAATTAGGCGTTTTGTAAGATGTTAAATGAAGAAATCGCGGCCTCGGCTAGTTTTAGATCATGATAACATGTACAATACGACCTTACAATTGTTAATACTTTTATAATATAAATAAGTACTAAGTAATTAAAAAAACTCAAGACTTTTATCCTTGTAACTCTCCGGAACACACGAATTAATTGACATCTCATTCGTCTATATCAATCGAGATATTACGAAGTCTTACTTAGATAAGTAAAAGTAAAGAAATTATAAAAAATACGCAGCATTTAGCTAATTTGATGAGAAACGCAAGATGGCTTTTAATATCTTCGTTACACAATCAGAAAGTGTAAAAATGCCGGTAAGATATGTGTTGAGTTGCGAGAGGACGTTTTGTTATCAATAGAATTTGTATGTTAAATTTTCACAAAGTTATTCTATTTATAAGTAATCAAATTCGTAAAAGTATTTAAATGTAAACTTATATTATAGTTAAATTAAAATAGGATCTATATTAAAAAAAAAACTCACGGCAGACTGGCTGGAGACTGTGACGTCACAGGATCCGTAGACAACACTTTAAACGCATTGTTAACTTTATCACTTTTCGTCCCCCTGTCCACCCTCTTCCCAGACCCCGGAGCACTGCGCACTTCAAAACTGTCCGCGATAGTCCTTACTCGATTCTTACTCGGACTTTCGACACTTTGTCTCGATGATAGATCGAAATATCGATCCTGTGCATGGATCAACTGAGTAACAGTGAACGCGGGAGGATCATCTTCGTCGGAAGTTTTAATCGATGTTTTCAAATCGATCTGCGGTCCGAACAGACTGTAATCGAGTGTAATATCTCGATTGAAATATCGATCGTCCTCTATATCTTTTGATGGCGATGATTTAATAGTTATGTCTAAGTCGGCGAGACGCAGTGAACGGTCTGAGAACGCGTACGGCGTGTTGGCGAGTTCCTCCTCGATACTGTTGTATCTACTTCGGAAGAGCGACGGCGTCTCCCCCCCATCGTACTTTCCGCCGAAAAGATCGTATCTACCGAAGCGGTTGTTGATTGTATCGAATTTTGGATCTTTTATACCATCTTCGGTCTTCATCTTGTTTGCGGTCCGGACAGGGCTCGATGTCGGACTCATGTCTATATGTAGTATACCATGTTCGTCTTTGTATTTTAATTTTAGCGCCATATTTACATTTCTTGCCGTCTTGAGTTTTTTATCTGTGGACAAAGAAGAGACAAATTATTAGTTTTATTAAAATTAATAAGACAGTCTGTTAAAATATATATTTTTAAATAGAAAACAGATACGCAGCGGATACAAAACAGATATGCAAGGAGTGAATCCGGTTACCTATTTGATTGATAATGCAAATAATTTATAGATAGTTAATGTTATATATACTATCTTTATGATTCATTTAACTATATTTCTATTAATAAAAGTCTGTCGTAAAGTACGTGGCTATTGTAAATGTATGAAAGGAGATAATTGTATGGATCATACAATAGTTACGATAGATTTCTTTCACAAAGCCTTATAATCGCTTGCGACATAGAACCTAAATAAATATGTAAAGTTGTGGCGTAGGGTGGGGTGCGACTGACAGCGATATAAACATATAATATTTATGTGTCTATTTGTCTAAAGGAGGGTGCAGGTACCAATAACATAGGTGTTATTTCAAGTAGTTTTTATTTACATTTTCATACTAGGTTTCGCTCGCGATTCCGTCCGCATTTTCCAAGTAGCCTATGTGTTCTTCCACACTATCCTCTACGTCCATGCCATATTTCATTGAGATCCGTGCAGCAGTTTTAGCTACAGACTCTAACAAACAACCATCCATCCATCCATCTAAACTTTCACATTTTTAATATTAGTATGATATGATTTCGATTCTCTAGCCTTACCACTCTCGTCGACATCTGTGTGTCTATCTAGGTCGAATATGGGAGTTTGATGAGCTACGGAGAATTGTATATTACCATCCTTCTCTTTCCCTTTATAAGACTTTTTAATTTGTAGTTAATGTCACTTTTATATATTGCTTTTGTTTTCGAAAAAGATTATATCAAACGGTCTTACTTTAGATTTTTATTTTTAAAGCCAACGTATTATTCAAATCCGCTACAACTGTGGCCACAAATAAACCAAAACATTCTTACACAAAGTTTTATTACGGCCGCCTGCGTTATTCCTTGTCGTTAATTACAACTAATGTGAAATATGTTTTCCAGCGACCCGCAGTTACCTCGGCCTGAACTAAACTCGTCACTGAACGTGCCCTATTTATAACACATTCCGACTTCATTGTGTGTTCGAATTATAACGGAATTCGGTATTTGACCACAACATGCCGACTTTGTGTAAAGTTAGGTCAGTTCAGTTCATTGAATAATTACTTATTGAACGTTTTGTTTTGTCAACTTTAAAATTTAAAGTTTCAATTACTACAGTACTCGTTAATAGTTATTTTTCAACTGTTTTGTCTTAAGCAACTATTAGCTTTCGTCCGTGACTCTGTCCGTGGAATAAATAAAACCAAAGTACCCTATGTATACTTCCAGACTAACTCTGACAAGCATCCATCAATCTAAACTTTCGTATTCATAATATAATTAATTAAATAAACCGACGGTTATATTAATTTTAGTAAAAGAACAGTGATTTTTTTTTAAATTTAAATCACGGTTTTTTATCTATACTGTGAAAAGACATTTGTGTAAGACGGGCTTCTCTACAAGAGTCTCATGTATTTCTTCGACAATTAAAAAAATTGTACAAAGAGTAATCAAAGTTAATCCACGATAAAATTAAAGAATATAATTTTACCAGCGTTTTATTTTTACCACAGATTATGATATAAAGTTTCTTGTAGAACTCTACCGATGGCCCATATCCATAGATTACAAGTTCCTAGCCTCAATTCAACAACTACCCACTGTTCAGCCTTGGCACGGATCGTGCGATCTCAAGATAAAAAATATTTGGGGGAACTCGACGAAGGACATAATGTCCTTGGTCAATTCCACCCTCAGGGTAATTCGACCACCCTAGTTCTCTCGGTGTTTGATATTTCGTAACTTTGACGTGGTATTTAACACTTGGTGTGAATAGAATTTAATGTGTTTATTAGTGAGGAGTTCCATTGATGTTATTGAACAAGAAAATTTTGTAACCCTTTATTGTTAATAATGTAAAAAATTGTTACATTTTTATATTGAATTAAATATTATTAACTCTTGTTCTAAAAGAATGTGTATATGACAGTTTTGTCATATTAATTAAAGCATCTTTTTAGTGAAAAGGGGTCAGCAGAGATAATTGAAATTTCTAATCGTTTATTAGCGCTTACGGCCGTTGATTGCTAGGTTTAAGTAATTATGTTATCTGATTCCCTTAGGTAACTGTGAGTGCACATTTTATCGTAGTTTAAAATAAGTTTGCGGCTGAGACATTGTTAGAATATCATGAACAAAGTCGCTAACTTATAACGACTTTATAATTACTTGATAACACGATATTTGGATGTTAATACTTTGTGGTGCCATTCCGGCCTTTCCTTAGATAGTCTATGTCCTTATGAAAATATACTTTACGATGGATTTTGGCAAAAATAAATGAATAAAAGCTCCTACACGCTAACGCATAAAACATTTGTCTACATTTGAAACCAAACAATAAACAGACGTAATTTTTAGACACTAAACAAACTTGATAGATAGACTACAGATATACCTGTCTTTCGAGATGATCAGTCTATGGATATATAGTTTTTTTGTGACTGAGTTGCCACTGTTTGCCTTGTAGTGGCATTTACAGATTCACCGGACTTGAGGTGGCCGAGCGCATGGCGCTTAGCCTAAACCTCTTTTATGAGTAACTAGGCTAAAGACAGTAATCTAGAGTGGTCCTTTGTTGCCGTAACATCGTTGAGCCACAGGTAGAGTTTGACTGCCGAAGGTTCCGGTGTGTTCCTTGGAGACCCCGGAACCTTCATCAATGTCACTAGAGGATGGCCACCGAGGGGTTTTAGTAGGTCAAATCCTAAATAACCCTGCCTTCCCCCCAGAAGGCAAGGTATCTTGTGAAGATTCCCCCCCCCCGTCACCTAAACTCTGAAGAACACTACAGTTAATCTTATTGTTGTTTGCTAGTGCTTGTTGATTTCGAATTAAGTGTTTTAAAACTAAAAACAGCTTAACTTACGAAAAGAGGAAATAGACTTATAAAGTACAATTGAAAGTAACTTATAAGCGAAATCGTAGCTTAATACCTATAGCCGTGTAGACTATCACACAAGTCTTTGCTAGGGGTGGAATTGTGGTTAAATACGCAGGGGGTTGTAAATGTCTGTCACTGGGGAAATTGTCTGTTTCCGCATCCGAGTGTCATGTCACTCAACGAAGTTATTTGCTATTTATGACGTAAATAACTTGAAGGACTTTTTCCTTTATTTAGTCCATATAAAAGTACTTACAATGCTTAGATTAACATGAGTTGTGGTAATTATAGAAACTATTTAATACAAAATTACTATTAAAAACTTGATTTAGTATATTTCTAATACTAGTTTACTTTTTCATACAGAAAAATAGTTATCTTAAAAGGAAACAGTTGCAGTTTTCGATTTATAATAGTCTTTTGGTAAAACTGGTCCTAAAGATGCAGAATGTAGTCTGAAAAAACACAAGTGCTGCTTACTAAGTTTTTTAATTCCGTGCGGATAGAGTCGAGGGCGAAAACCAGTTTATCATAATTCACTTTCCCGTATCGACTGATATTAGATAGCTTTTATGTTTCATCAAAAGATATTAGATAACGTCATGTGTGAAAGATATCTATCATTAATCATACACACAAAATAAAGGCATTTACACACTCAATTCTGTTTTTATTAGTGACAATATTTTACTGAAGTATTTGGGTCTGAAAACTACAACAAACAAAAAAGAATGTTTTTGTTTTTACACTTGAGAACGTTGATACACAACTTCTAGATGGAGTGTCTCGTACGAGTTTGATACCTATGAGAGTCGATTTACCAAATGTATTGTAAATGGCAACACTTAGAATAATATGGTCATTGTAATTCTTTTTACCTCACTTTTGCGTTCCGGATTAGATAGATATGGCTCATCTAGTAATATCTCATCTACGTTTTTGACATTTTACAGATACCAGAATCAACGATTACATAAATGTCTTACCACTTTGTAGATTACACATTTTTAAATACATATGCCCTAAAAAAAATTGCATTTTTTGCAAAGCCAATATTACTAGGTGTGCGATATATTCTTGAGCTATGTGTAAATAGCTTTATATTTTTAATATACTGAATGGATTTAATTTAATAAGTATCTGATATGCGTTAACACTTTTACGTGTTAATAATTTAGCTAGAACATGTTTGAAGCGTTAAAATGTCTCGGAAGAAGACGTAATGCTTTTTCAAGGTAAATTAAACTGTAACATGTTAGAACTTATCTAAACCCTACTAATATTACTATTTTATGAAGTCTTTTCTCTTAATTACTTAGTACTCTATATGTAATGTGTAAAGATTTGTCTGTACTGTTATATTAGTATGGTAGTGCACGGCAGCAAGGTCGACACGAGGCCGTCCGCAAATTAGTATATTGCGACATTTTGTCTGAACATTATAAATTATATTAAAAATTAAATGAAATTAAAGGAAATACTTTGAAAAATAAGAAAGTGAGTATATAGGTAAACCAGCGATATTCTTCGATTAAAATACCATTTGAAATCTATTAAAACAGTAAAAAGCATACAAAAATCGAAAAAAAAAACAAATAAGACATTGTTAGATGATCTTATTAGGATTTGAACCATAATACTTTTTTTATAAGAGCTGGGGGCAAACGAGCGGCGAGAACAACGAGGTGGTCAACGACGCCCATGGACATCCGCAACACCAGAGGTCAACAATTTATTGACAATGTTAGAATTTCTATCCAAATCCATACCTATTACTACCAGGGTAGAAGAAACGTATATGAGATAGCGTCGTATCAATCTATCAAATTCTAGAATTTACAATAATTAAGTTTCTCTATTATAAGTAATTAATCTTCGCCCACTAAAGCAATGCGTTGGATTAACTTAGAGATTTCTATCCGCAAATGTAGGTTCATCCGTTCAATATATATAAAATGATTCACAACTTCAAGGTTAACTAAAACCTTTGTTATTAAAACTATGTTTAAGATATATTTATTTAAGACTAGCTTTCGCCCGTTACTGCGTCCATATGGTACTAAATACACAAAAGTATACAGCCTACGTTCTTACATATTATGCTCTACATCTACGAGTATGCCAAATTTCATCTTGATTCGTTTAGTAGTTTAGGCTACAAACTCTAAGAAATATCCATCTAAACTTTCGCATTTATAATATTAGTGACTAGCTGTTGTACGCTACTTCGTTTACGTGAAATTAAAAAAGCTTACGTTTCTCAGCGATAAAGTGGCTTTCTAATTGTGAAAGAATTTATGAAATCAGGCCAGTAGTTTTTGAGTTATTTCAATACATACAAAAATACAAATCTTTATAATATAAGTAATTGATGTGTACTATACACAAAGTTAAAGACCGAAGAAACTATGGATTGTGTAAAAGACGATAAGCTTGAGATGAAAGTGAGATCTGACAACTGATAGACATCTACGGGAATACATTTGCCAACTATAAGGACAGAGGCAGGTTGACCATTTCTAAAGTTACTAAAAAGAAAAACGAACTTTTAATTGAGTGGAAAATGAATGAAGAAAAAGTTTTATTTTTAAAAACAATCTTTTACTTTAAATAAAGTCAAGTTATGTAAGTAATTATGATTACAATCTTTATATAGTGCAGCTATAGAAAATAATATTTCCAGCTCTATAAATGGGCGTCGTTTGAAATAAAATCACATTTGTAATTTATGTACATTTTCTTAGAAATAGGGTGACTGAATAGCTTTTTAAAGTATAGATCTACCTTGATAATACTATCGACTAGTAATATGTAGAATTGTTTGATAGTATGACTTGAATACTAGCTTTCGCTCACAATCTTGCCCGCAAAAATAAAAAAAAGCCTATTCCAGACTGTTTAACAAACATCTAACCTTTCGCATTTATAATTTTAGTTTAATAATTTTTGAAGTATGTTTTATTTACTAAGAGAATAATGCTAAAATGTACTTATTATTTGTCAACATAACAAAAAAAACTTATTATTTATGTATAGTTAAATGGACATATTGCATGATTTCATTGTGTCCTAATATCAAATTTACAATATGAAGTTATTGAGGTGTATATGGTGTTTAGTTTAGGAATCTCTATCAGTTAAAGTCTGACGTCAGAATACGCTATAAAACGTGCCCAGCTTTGTCTATATTTAGTAATACATACCGTACACAAGTGATCGTATCCAATAAAATCACACACAAGCTCACAAAATCCAAACAAACACACAAGTTCACATTTTTACGTAAACTTAAGCCGTCATTTCAATTTGATTTTGAACATGTAAAAAATCACCGAAACAACAGCGGCCATTATCGTTTTTTTGGCGGGAAAATTAGTTACGCACGCCATTATTGTACACACAAATTCTAATACAAAGTCAACATGTTTTAAATTTTTAGGTTATCCGATAAAATTATGTATGACGATAGAAAATTTGGTTTGCAAGATGCTAAGTTATTTCTGTCAGCCATTTTATCACTTGAAGTCTATTGTGTTAAAAAACTAAGCATGAACACTTTTAAGACAATTTTCGAAAAGAAAAACTGTTTTATTTTCTTATATTTGGAAGAACTTTTGCAGATTCGTTTGTTTTTGTTTTGAGCTTAGTTTCTAAGGCTACGATATGACTCGTAAGGCGGCCTGGTACAAACTGACCAATGTGCAAAGAAATGGGGTGGAGGGTAGAAGAGGGTAATCACACGGGGTGGAATATTTCGCGTTTTAATTACAATGTAGTGCGTTGGAAACAGATTTTGCGGTTGTTGGCGTAGACTTCACCTTGTGACGAACGATCTTTTGATTTTGTTTGTGTTTACGTAATTATAAAATACACTACAACTTAGATTTTCGTTATTATACATCTGTGGTACTCTAGTATCTCTTATTGACAACTTTAAGTTACAGTAATAAAAAACTTTAAGTAGATTATATTAAATTTAGTGGAAACGTTTGTTTTTCACTCAAACTGTTATGATTTTATTTTTTAAAATAATTATACGCATTTATTTACACTTTTAAACAAAATTTAACTCTACTTGACTAAAGAATTTAATTTTTATAGATTTTATAAGAAAACATCGATAATTAATACAATATATTTTAAATTTACTTACGGTGCTACGAGATAAAGCGTAGGTAGGTACTACGTCGTAGAACTAAATGTGACATCCTAACTGGGGTAGATTTATAAGCCTGGTCAATTAACCCATTACCCTTGAAGCTATAAAATAATTAATAAGCTATATACTGATTAATAAAGGCGAGGCCCCATTATAGTGAACCACCTATATACTGCACTTTTTATAGTCTTTTACACATCACGATAATTTTAACAATATTGAATTAAAAAGAGTAAAACCGGATGTAATTTTGTAGTTTAAAAGTTTATCTACATTTTATGTTATGTGTTTATTTTTCATTTAAATGCTCTAGCGATTTAAAAGTTTTTTTTTAATAAAAATAGGGTTACGTAAGACACGCGTATCTCGTTACTATTTTGTTATCTAAAACGCCTGAAGAAATAAAATCTCAATATAACATAACAATATGTTTTGTATCGTACAGTGTAAGGAGTTTTCAATCTAGTACATTAAGTTAATAGACATTACAGCGAGTGGCCGCGCCCCTGATGATGGGAACTTCCACAGAACTTGCGATTCTTCTTGAAGATTAGCACAAATTGTTAAAACACGCCTGCGGTAACAGTATAGCAAAGTAATAAATACTAAATATCATTTTATCTCTGAAGTCTTATTTAACAAAGACACCCATTGAGCAATATTATTATTATCAATGAAAGAAATAGTATCTGGTAAGCGTAAAATTTAATAAAAGTTGAATCTACTCGATAACAGATGGCGCTGAAACGTCTAAATGAAGAATATTTTACATATTAAAAAATTATACATGTTTTAATCGGTTAATCTTGATAAGGTAAATAGATAACATTTTAGAAATAAATGATAACGTTTTATAACAGGAAATTGCTGATTTATATTCGAATTCGATAACTTGTCTCAAACCAGTTTCATTGGCGAGGAAAGATTTTTAATATCGCGTTTAGTTGTCTAGACAACGTTGCGAATAAAAAAAACTGTAAAAAACGAGCTTAGAAAAACGTCAATCTAAGACCCTACAGGTAATGTAATTCACAGATTAGATACATAAAGATGGAAATAAAATAATTTAATCTGCAATAATTGTGTTTTATTTATTACAAACATACATATTAGTCTTCTATATTTTGGAAATAGAGGAACCCGCTACTTTAAAACATATACAAAATGCTTAATATCACTAAAATCTACATTTAATAGATCTTGGTTAAACAATTAACAATCTTTATTAGGAACTAAACGTAGCAATGAATTCTCCTTCGAAAATATCAAATTATTATCAATATCAAACGCCATTCCATACACATCCTGTATTTCCGCAACTTTTACGATACTTTCCGTTACTTTATTCACCCTGTATATACCATCAGCAGCTAAAACAAACACTCTACCATTCCTATCCAAAGTGATCTCTCTGATTTCATCTACACTTTTAACATCTTTATATAGGACCTCTTGTTCACCTTTCTTTTTACCAAATACACCAGTTCCATTGCTGTAAACCATGTAATCTTCATCATCCATAACAAAGAAGTAAACTTTAATGCCTTCCAGTTCTTCGACAGGCTTAGATTTACCATTAGAGTATGTAAATAGTGTTTGACTAACAAATTCAATGTAATACAAGACGTTTTTATAAAATACATTCCAAGTATTAATTCCTCGCACAATTAGTTGAGCTTTGTTATTCCTTTCATTGTATTTATAAATTCCTTTATAACCGCCAACGTAAATAACGTGGTTCTTCTGATCTACGTCAAGAGAGAAACCATTATTGACTTCTAGATTAGTGAATTTTCCATCTTTCAGATTTATTTTGGCAGTTTTGTAAAATATATCTCCAGTTTGGTCGATATGTGTGAAATAGAGGGCGCTAGTTTTGTAGTCTATAGCCAGAGATGAAGGTTTGTAGATGTCTGCCTTCATTAATTGTTCTTTGTACGGTTTTCCATCGTACAATATTCCTTTGCAGCCTTCACTAGAGGCCGCTTGTATCGCCGCGAGGGAAAAAAACAAGAATTTCAGCATCTGAAAATAAATGGAAATTATATATGGAGTTTTTTCATAAATTGACAATTGTTTTATTATTGAATTTAATTTTATTAATCATTTTTAAACAAGTTTTAATAAACTTTTATTTCTTACGTAAACAGCCCATAATTTTATTTCTGTTATTGAAACTAAACTAATTGGCTCCCTTAGTAGCTAATAAAAAATAAATGCGTCAGTTAAATATAAAGAGTGAGTTAAAAAGTAACTAAGATTATGGTTTAAACAAGATAATCCTAGCCTAGGGGCGATACGCAAAGAAATTAGTTCCGCATTTCGCCGATAGATGTCGAGAGTTTTATATTCCTGGTCAAGCATTAATAAACATGAGTGTATGATTCATAAAAAAAAACAAGAAAACAACAAGAGTAATAAAGAGTAGATACAAAGAAATTTTCCTTGTACGACCGGTGTTTTGTTATTGTTTTGTATTGAACAGTTTAGGTACAACACATTTTACTGATCTTACTTCTTACTAATATTATAAATGCGAAAGTTTAGATGGATGTTTGTTAGAGTTTGTAGCATAAACGGCTGAATGGATATCGATGAAATTTGGCACAAATGTAGAGGATAGTCTGGAAGAACACATAAGCTACTCACATTTGTTTTAATTCTACGCGGACGGAGTCGAGGGCGAAAACTAGTGTCAATATAAAAACAAGTTTTATCCAAATCAACCAAATGATTTAAACGTCGAATCCAAAATATGTTTTCGGTAAAATGTGGAAAGAAAGTTTGTTTAACAAAAACAATTATAAAGAGTACAATTTATTGTTAAATATAAGCTTTTACTACATTTTAACTACAATCACGTATTTGACTATTAAAAATAGACACACACTTGAGGCCCTAAAGTAATTGTAAGAAAGGAGAAAGTTATTTTTAAATAATTATAACATTCCTTACAGGTACCATGTGACAAGGTGTTTTCTACGTAATACAAACATTACATTTCGATAAAATAAATATAAAAATCTCACCGTGCAAGCAGAGTGTCTCCAAGCAACAACTGGTCAGTCCGCCGAGCTATCTGTTAAATGCTACAAGTTTTATAATAACAGAGAAATATATAGAGTCGAATACTTTAACTATTTTGCCCACTAGTGTTTGTTAGCATTTAGTGAATGTCGATAAAACATTTTTTAACTAACGGTTATATATTTTTTTACTATAATGCTGTTAAGTTAATTAACAAAGATATGTTGTTTGCTATTTTTTCATTAAAGACTACTGTAAATTTTTATTTGATTATCTCTTTATCTTGAACGTATTGTGTGTTAATAAATCACAGAGAGCTGTCTATAGTTACTAATTTTATAAAAAGGAAAGAATTGGGTTTTTGTATGTAATGAAATAACTCAAAAACTACTTGGCCGATTTTAAAAATTCTTTCACCGTTAGAAAGGTAATCTATATGTAAATAATATTTGCTATATTTTTTAATTCCATGGATATTCTAGAGAATATTTTCATAACGATATCGACAGTTGTATTTTATTTTTACAGCGCCCCTACCGGACATAGAGTACATCAACAAAACTACGTTTCAAATATATGAGAATTGAAACGCAAATATTTGTGATAGTTGTTTGCGTGCGGCTTCACCCGCATGAAATTATAAATTTATTCTTTGCATTTGTCAAATTCTCGATTTCAAATGTCATAGTACCAATTACCTTACTATGGCAATCTTGCTTCCTTGACATTGGCAGCAACTGAAGAACCTTTTTCCCACATTAGGGTTTTTATCCAAAATTACCTCCTAAGTTTAATGGCGTGAAAATGTATAGTCTAAAGCGTGACGTAAGTGTAGGGCTTTTTATTAAAAAAAAAAGAAATATTCAAAAATATGCTGCTAAGATCTTAGGCAACAAAGAAGTGTGTGTTTACGCTTTATTATAATTGTATAGATAAAGCCTCATTTGTTTTAGGAAGAAAGAGTCTTGAGTAACTTATGTCATATCTGCCAAAAAACAATATTTATGAATATAAAGAAGTCTCCATAACAGTCTCTGTTCGTGCACTCATAACTTGTTCATAAAGCTACATCCACATTGACGTAACGAGGGGATTTATTCACACTTGTTATCAGTTACCTTAGACGTTCAATTAATTAGTTAATATGTTGACAATTATAATAAGAAACAACGATAACATTCAAACTATCGAATTTCTAAGTTAAATGAATTAGTTAAAACTCGTGTGGAATAAAACCACAGCCAAATTTATTATTAAAGAACAAAATTACTTCGCAAATTTAACAAGAAAGCAAAGAAAAAGATTTTCGTTACATAAATGTATGGTTAAGCATCTATCCAAGCTAAAAACTAACTTTGTGTCAGCGTTTAAACAATTTTTTACTAACATACCAACCAAACAACACAAATACTAGCCACCATTTTATTATTTACCACTAGGTAAAGTTGCAAGTGTGTAAAAACCCTTATATTTATGACTAGTTAAGGACTTAATCGTAGGTAAATATCTCGGGTACATTTTATATTGTTTTTCCCCGCACGCAGTGCATCATTGGATGCAAGTTTTCCTGTTTTTATGCACACAGCCTAAGTTCAAGGTACGATTTCAGTACGGTAATGAACCTTTGTCCATAAGAGACATCTACCGGAAAAGTTTCGAAGGTTATATTTATTTTGGGAATAATTAACATTTTTCATTTATTTACATAAACGAAAGCGACTTTTTTTGCACATTTTAATTATACACATTTTTTTATAGTTTTGTTTGTATTCTTAAATTGCTAAAATTGCGTCCCAACCCGATGTATTGACAAAAATTAACGTAAGTATAAATTTTCGATATTAGTTCAATATTTAGTTATGAATATTACAAGAATAAGAGCGTCGGTGGCTCAGTGGTTTACGCACTTGACTTGTAATCTACATGTCTTGTGTTCGTATCCCGCTGTACCAGAGATTCGAATTTCATGTGTACATAATTTATCCGACGTTCTTATAGTGAAGGAAAACATCGTATAGCTCATATCTGCGAAGATATACAAAGATATGTGTGATATTAACGCAGTGTGGTTGACTAAGTCCTAGTCACCGTTACTTAGGGTAGGCAGAGAACCCTAAGTAGGGACGTAAATATGAGGTGATGATAAAAATTAAACAAAAATTATAAATTGACATTTATTTACTAAAATTGTAACGTAAAAACTTGTATTTAAGTATTGCAGGCATTCCACTGGAACTAATACATTTCTATGTAATAACACATACAAACAACAATTGTATACGCTGTTTCAAATTAAAGTCAATCTAGCTGTTGCTTGCGACTTCGTCCGCGGGATATTAAAAAAAGTATAATCTATGTTACTCATTGATACCGTAGTTTTTATTGAAAAATGAAAGGATATGATTTTTCGATATTAACAGGGTGGCGCTAGTGTGCTATTTTCAAATAGATTCTGTATAAAAATCGATATCTTTAATATAATACAGCAGTTACATTTAAGGATTAAGTATTTTTTACAATGTATCTTGTGTATATTTGAAACAGCGTATTTATAAGACAATGTATTGTTTCAAGTGAATTTAGTATTCTCGTCTTTGCAGTAGCAATATTTATTTAGATGCGGATGTGTTTTGCTGATGCAAGCAGGTTCGTCATCGTATCTGGGAAAATATAATCATACTAATATTATAAATGAGAAAGTTTAGATGTTTAGAGTTTGTAGCCTAAAAGAATAAACGGATTTCCATGTATTTTTTATACTTTTAAATAAAAAATTAAGTACAATATAAGTGTGAATGTATGTTTTCTATGTATACTAATAATATAAGAGAGAGAGAGCGAGATAGAGAGAGAGAGAGAGAGAGGAAATATCTGTATTTTAGTATTTACTGAAATAACTACTGGACCCATTTTAAAATTCTTTCACGAATACTAAAAAGCTACGTTATGAGTTAGTGACATAGGGTATATTTTTACAAGCTGTTGCTCGCAATTTTGTCCGAATTTAAGAAAAATAAAAAGTATAGCCTATGTTACTCACTTTTTAATACATACAATAATAATTAAAATTAATATGTCTAACTAATATTGATGGATGTAGTTTGTAGCCTAATCTGCTGAACGGATTTCGTTAAAATTTGGCATAGATGTAGAGGATAGTCTGGAAGAACACATAGATAAGTCATTTTTGTTTCTTAATTCCACGCAGAGTCGCGGGCGAAAGTTAGTTATTAATAAATCATTAACTCACGCCGTGATCCGCGAGATGTCGCTGTCAGATATCACAAACTGTTCCGTGTTGACGTCGTACTTCATCGTGCCCTCGAACACGGCGCGCCCCGGACTCATTGTGATCTGGATATAACCATGCTAGTCACATACCGGTGTAGACAGAAACGTGAAAACTTTTTACTTACTTTGTAATTATTAAAAAAACTGTTTCAAAGATGTACTATAAATATTTCGACGACCTAACTTGGAGAAATATATAAAATAGACTTTTACCGTTATTTTTAAATTTGATTAATAAAATTCATATTCCGAGACGCTAATGCGAAATTAACCATTGCTGTTCGAAAATTGGCAGGCGCTCACAAACAGTACTAATAGTAAAAAAAACTAAACTTACTTTCGCTTGATAATACTCGACGCTAGGTCTTGACTGCAAATAAAAATTATTAACATTATAAATGTAAAAGTTTAAATAAATAGATTTGTTACATATCTTAAAAATTGTTCAACGGATCTTGTTGAAAGTTGTCATAGATGTAAAAAATCGCCTAGAAGATTACATACGACTTACTATTTTTAATCATTTCGAAGTCGCGGGCAAAAGCTAGTTATATATCACTAGGTGTCGCTCGCGACTTCGTGTATGTAAAATTGAAAAATAGTAAAAAAACCTATGTTACAGCTAATTACCTTTCCAATGGTGAAAGAATTATTAAAATCGGTCCAGTAATTTTTGAATCATTTCGATACAAGCGCCAATAGCCTAATTGTTTGTGGTACGTACTACCGATCTTGGGGTCGAGGGTTCGAATCCCACCATTCGATTGTCGTGAACCATATCCTAGCACAAACCTACAGCTTAGTTGGGAATAGTTAAAGGAAATATTAGTAAATTAATAAAAAATCTACTAATGCTTTATAAGAAAAAAAATACAGATCTTTCCTCTTTATAATATTAATATAGATTATACATCACCTTAACATCAGCTTTTATGTAAGAGTCGTGATCACCATTACAATCGATACCGGACTTGAAACTGAGGACATCATCATTGTTGGTCAACTTCATCACCCAATCTATAGACGTCAACTTTCTCACAGCACATTTAGACCTACAAGTGATTATTAAAGTAAATACAAGAAGGTTGCAACAAGCAACTTGAATTCGCCGAAATAAGCCATCGCTGCTTATAGACTTTCGTAATCGCAGATGTATTGCCTACCCTTAATCGATGTGGGGTTGAACATTTTGTTTTTTTATATGATAATATGTCAAACGAGTGACAACTTGAGTTTGCTGAAATAGCGAAACGTTCGCTGCTTATTTTTTTATATAATATTAGGTGGAAAACGAGCAAGCGGCCATCTGTCTCCACCGAAATGGAAAGCGACCGCGGCCCATAAACATCCGCAAGTGCAGATGCGTTGCCTACCCTTCATCGACGGAGGAGGATACCCACAAAAAGACACTTCCCCTTCCTATGCGTCTCCTCCACCGTCAAATCCACTTTTCCTTCCCATCCTTTTCTCTCAAGAAAAGGGTGGAAAGGTAAAGGGACTAACACTAGGCC